ATTGGGATGTGAAGGCACCTCCTTTAACCTCAGAATATTCTCTCAAGGGCGCTGGAGCTGTTTAATCAGCTGCCAAGGGAAAGGTGGCCATCCTATGCTCAGTGAGAGGTTCTTCTTCAGGAGAGGCTCCTATTCTCATTTCAGCTCTGCTGAGGTTCAGATTAGACACACACCCCCTCCGGGGAAAGGCAGGCATTCTGGAACACGGCAGAGGCCCCCTGACCACCAGGATTCCCATCCTTGCCTACAAGCAGCACCCACCTCAGTCATCAGCCGGTCCGCCCCTGTGTTCTCTTCATCCTTAAAGATGATGTCGGGGTTGTAGTTGGGGGTGAGCTCTTTAAACCGCTCCGAGGTCCGGCTGATCTTGCCTTCGTAGCGGCCGCTGGCGCCCAAGGTCTTCTCGGCCACGTTGGGGATGAACTGCTTGTAGGCGAGCGGGGTGAGCTTCTTCGGGTGCCGCCGCTTGCCGAAGCCCCGTCCCGGTCCGCAAGCCAGCCCGGCCGAGAGGAGGGACAAGAGGAAGCCCAGCGAGGCCAGCAGGAGCCCAAGCCTTCTCAACGGCAGCATTCCGTCCGCGGGGGAGGCAGCGAGCGGGCCCTGGGCTCCCTCCCTCCCCGCTCCCGGGCTCTAGGGTTAATCCTAACTCTAACCCTAACTCTAACCCTAGCCCTAAACCTATACCTATTCCTAACCCTAACCCTAACCCTTCTCTCTCTCTCAGTCTCGGACTTCGGAGCGCCTTCCTCGCCGGCTTCTTCCCTCCTTCCTTCTTTCCTTGCTTGCTTGCCTTGCTTCCTTGCCTGCTCGCTCGGTCGCTCGCCCGCCCGCCTCTCCAGCGAAGGGCTATCCCCCGATCCCCAGCGAGACAGGTGCTGGAAGGGCAGCCTCGAGCTGGCGGGTGATAACGGAACTCATCGGAGTTCGGATCTTGACACAGAAAGGCAGGGACCCAGAAGGAGGAGGAGGAGGAGGAGGACGAAGGCGGCCAGGAGGGGGGGGGGACGCGACACGAAGGTTGGGATTCTAAGGGGAGCCGAGCCTCAAACGTCTGTGAGAGCAGCCTGCCTTTAGTTCTATATTATAGCTGCCAGAGCTGAGTTCTGATTGGCCGAGGCGGGAGAAAGCTCGCCTTCTGATGTATTAACCCTGAAGAAGGCAAAAAAAAAAAAAAAACCCAACAACAACAACAAAAAAATCTTGGAAGCGCTCTCTCTCCTCCCTCCCTCCCTCCCCCCCCTCTGTACCTGAAGGGCTTGGAAAAGAAAGGGGTGGAGACTGCGCCTTTCGGGATAACATCAATTACATGTTTAATTCCTCTTTTTCTTTTTTTTTTCCCCTTCCACGCCTCTTAAACTTTCTCTCTCTCTCTCTCTCTCCCTTCCTTTTGTCAGCACGAGTAGCAGATGCTGGCAGAGGATACAAACCATCGCCCCTTGGAGAACGCAGGGGGGTAGCCGGTGACATCTCGGTGGGTCTGTCGGTCTATATGATTATGCGCATCGTCCCTTTTCCTCTCTGGATGACTCTTCCAGCTGCCTATAGGGGTCTATCTCTGTGTCTCGATCTGTCAGGTGTACGTGTCTCTATACACACACAAACACTAGAGATAGATACGTGTGTAGAGGGTGCGTCGGCGCCCGCTTCTCTGTGGATCTCCACGCCTCCGAAAACCTCAAGCCTGGGAGGTACTTTCTCTCTCCTCGGTGCGTGTCTGGGGTGGGCATGTTCTCCCCTGCGGACCCGATCCTTCGAGATTCCTCGAAAAAGGCGACTCTAAAGAGTGCCCGAAATAAGAGGGCGGAAACTTTATTTCTAAGTAAGTATTTGCATCCATTGCGACAAGAAAAAATGGCCTACCTCGTAGTTCCTTCGTGGAGATCGGGAAGTTGCAGCTTCAAGAGCAAGTGTGTGTGTGTGTGTGTGTGTGTGTGTGTGTGTGTGTGTGTGTGTGTGTGTGTGTGTGTGTGTGTGTGTGTGTGTGTGTGTGTGTGATCGGAACACTTTGACAATTGTGTCATGGGCCGGGTTTTTTTTAACCAGCACATTCACGTGCGTCTTCTCGGAAGTAATTCCCAAAGAATCAATGACATTTTGCCCGGGGTTAAAAAATAAAATAAAATAAAAATACAGTCCTATAGTTCCCTGTTAGTGAGCTCACCGAATGGAACAAAATTTACTCATGAGTAGAAATGTACAAAAGTGCGCCGCCGGACTATCAAAGGCTGCCTTTCTATCTCTCTCTCTTCTCTGTCTATCTCTTTCTTCAGATGCTGAAAGCATTTTTCACACGTTCTCACCAGACATCAAATGCGTGGCGCGGAGTGTTGTGTGGACTAGGTTTAAGAGGAAACTAATTGCCATCTCCGCTGGCTGACAAGTGGTGGTTTCATCCTGAACTGGGAAAAAAAGAGCTACTGATCAAAGGTGCTGAGGGATGAGCAGAATGGCCAGCAAGGGAACTGATAAAGCACCTCCCGCTGCAAACGCGGGGTCCGAAACAGAAGCAAACGCACAGAACTTTTTTCTTAGAAAACCTGTTGGGATTCCCCCCCCTTTTTTTCTCTCTCCTGGAGGGGGAGTTTTGCGAATGGAAAAGACAAAATAATCAAAGTTTCTTTCAAAGAATTCAGATTTCTCTCAAGACTTCAATGCCCTTAATTTTTGCTAGTTAGAGAAATCTATAACTCTAAAGTTTTTAAAAAATGAGGAAAAAAGTTATCTACAAATCTAAGTAGGCAGATAATGTCCTGTAAATTGTGAAAGCCCCTCCCATTCTAAAATATTCATATTTTTCTCGCACATCCTTACAGGTAAGTCAGACCCATGATCTCCGTAAGGCTTACGTTTGAGTAAAAGTTTTTAAAGGGGAGGAGGCTCCTTTTGTAAACATTGTGGCAATCGCAGGAAGCATAGATTGCACATTTACTGTTGAGTAGTTCCGTTGTGGGAATCGGGTCCGCTCCGGAGCGGAGTGAGATATATTAGGATTCCTGCATAAACTGTTACGCCGAAGTCAGCCTTCATAAAACTTAGAAAGGTTATTTATGTTTATTTTTTTGGATAGGAGCCCCCAGCCAGGAGTCCTAGTTCAAAAAGTAACGTTTCCAAGCTTGAGCTCCGATTCGGAAGGGTTTCCTTGGGGGGAAAATCCGTCTGTTGAGCTTTGAGGAACTAGTNCCCCCCCCCCCCCCGTACACGCTTTAAACTCGAGTGGAAAGTTTCAATGTTATTTCCTAACTCAGAAAGGCAAGCCCATTGAAATAAAGGAGATTGCTCCAAGGTCCATATACACTGGAGATATTATTTCTACCGGATTTTCGAGAAACCAGGGCCCTCGAATTATAACGCTCCGGCTCAACGAATTCGGGGATCGGAGGTTTGCAGCCGAGAAAGAGTTAAAGAACCTGCTACTATCCATCCGACGTTTCAAAAACGGAAGCCCCAGCCCTCGCCAGTCACTTAACGGAATGCTTCGTTAATTTGGGGGGGGGGAGCCCTTGTCCAGCCCTGTCATATATAGTGATGTGTTGTTATTGTTTTGAAAGAAAAAGTGCTATGAAAGAAGAGGCAGGTTTTAAAAGTCTGGACGTGTCCCGTGTATGTAAGTGTTCAAACAGGGACACTTTCGGAGTCCAGAGGAGGGCGGACAGTCAAGTCTCCCGTGGATAAAACGCCTCAGAACTCTTGGCGCAAAGAGATCAGAAGTAGCCCAATTTAAGGGACCTCTGCACCCTCCAAAATTATAGGGTACACTCTGAGCCGGGCTTTCTCTCTCGTGAAGTCGAGCTGGGGAAAGAAAACCGCTCCGTCTCTGCGGCAAAGTTTGCAAAACTTCGATTCCGTCTGTCACTCCTTCTCCTTGGACGGAAAAAAACAACA